CATTCCATTTTATTCCAGAACAGAACCAACAAATGAGCCAGCTCACTGGGGCTCCTCTTTAACCGCTCATTTTGGGGTGTTGAACTTGCAATGGATTTCATTCTGAATGCCAAGTGGGGGAGTCCTGTTTTGGGAGTGGAATTACCACAAGAAAATTTTGGTAATTTTAAAAGTAGCGAGCGAGCATTGAAATATATCCTTGTAGGGGCTACACATTTTTTAAAAATTGGGGTCACCAAAGAAACAAAGCAAATCACATAATATTTGCACCTAGATCCTAACCTAAATAGTTAACTTGTGCAAAAGTATTATTTTTACTATATTTCCTTTACACATCTCAAGGTTTTAATACCACATGTACCTATGTTTTTTTAACAATCAAGATTGAGGTCACCTTCTATCCGATTTCCCAGCCCAAACAAGTGCCGCTCCTCCAAGTTCTCTTCATTATTTGAAAGTGATTTTGTATTTCCATTCGCCACGACTCCCTCGGAAATTAGCCTCTTCGCACTGATTATAGTGCCCCCTCGCAATCACATAGACTCCATATCCATGTAGCTTTTGCGGTTCATAAACACAAATCAGCTGCAGAAGGAGAGAGCCAGAAAGCGTTCGATTCGTGAGCCAAATTCCGAATCGAAATCCCAGCCCAAGCCCGTTTCAATTGCCGATACGATTGGAAGAGGAGGAATGGGAACTTGTGCCCGATTACCATTACTGAAAATTGAAGTAACATGTGTGACGATGCGCAATTGCCAAGCGCCCCCTGGCGGCCACTCTCTGGAAGCTGTTACGCCCCCTCTCAAATATTGGAACCACCCGTCTATTGTTTCGTTTTCTATTTCACAGACGAGTGGTTGTTGCCGCGGCGACTTTCACTGGCACACAGCCTTCAGCTTATGGCCTTCAGTGGGTGGTGGGTGCTTAGTTTGGTTGGTGGTGCCCCAAATACCGCTTCCAATTTGGAGCTGGCTGTGCGTGCGGCAGTCATGTCTTTGTTTTGTCTCCTTGCGATGGCAAATATTTGGTAGAAAAAACGTATCTTGCAGTTGCACACACAAAAAGTATCTCTTCTCCAAATCCAAATCCAAGTGGAAGTCGAAACTGTAAACTGTGCAAATAGTACATGTCTCGAGCGGAAACTGTGCCAAAAGACGTATGGCACAAAGCAGGATAAATTTGCCAAGTTTATCATAGCGTGCGGATGGGGGCGGGGCAGGACTTGGGGGCTGTTGGCAAAACATGAGCCAAGGCATTGAGCATAAAATATTGTCGGCGATATTTTAACGCGCGCTCAAGCGAAATTGTCATATAAATAACGCCCAGGGAAGGGGGTGCAGAAGGGGGTTGGGGGGCCCCGGGGTTTCTGGTTTAAGGTTTTAGGATATTGGCTGGCGTTACTTTGAAATATTAAACATTTGGCAAACAGGCAAAGTTGAAGTTTATTGCCGACGTTGATGGCTCGAGTTGGGCAAGTTTTTTGCGAAGGGGTCCCTCGAAAAAACTGGAGGGAAATTGGGCCAGGCCAACTGAAACCTGGAAACCATTATGGACCCGTCGATTCCGATGCTATTTTTAAGCACCGCCAAACTTTTTGCCCGCCGCAGATAAAACGGGGAAAAGTGAGTTCGCTACGAGCACAACTGTACTTGCCAACTCTTTCCCATTTCCACCCCCTCCCCCGCACTCTTTTGTCTACCATTAAATCAGAAACATGCATTTATTTAGCAATTTCCACCAACTGCAACAGAAAAGTTGTGGCAAATGATTCTTTTTTGTGTGCTGGCAAATTTTCAAAAAGCAAAAAAAGAACTGTAGACTAAACAAAAAGCAGCAACAGAAAGTGTTAAAAGGAGGTGGTGGGTGGAGTGGTGTTTTGGGCAGGGGAGGTGAAGCGGAAGTCATAGCGCTGGGCAAACAGCAAAAGCAAAACCAAAATCCGGGGACCAAAAACCGACAAAAGACGGAACAGAAAACGGCACCAGACAGATACAATAAAAAGAGGTTTGCCCACCCCAACACCCCCTCTAACTGACCAACCCCCTTCTTTTTTTGGGCCATGGCCGCAAGGCTGTTGGACTCACAATCACACAAAGAAAAATCAATGTCTGCAAATAGACCCTTGACTATTTTTACCTTATAAGCATTTTGAATTCGCCAAATAACCTACTAATTTTAATTTATAAACTTTAACTCAGATATTTTAAATTTAAATAAAAGCTTAAAGGGAAGAAAAGGAAATATCTTTCTCGGAGATAAAAAATATTGAAACTATTTCAATGTTTAAATAAAATTTGTATTATTGTTAGTAAAAATTATATTATTTTCATGTCTAATTGGCAAACATTTCTAGATATTTTTTGCACTGCATATAGTTTAACCGGCAGGCAAACATTTTGCAACAATGGTCGAAAAGATATCGTCGTGGGAGGGGAATGGAGACCGAACGAGGGGTCACAAAGTCCAAGTCTGACACGAACGGAACTAATAAATGAGTTCAGCAACAGCAGCAAACCAAATAAAAATGTCCTAAAAAGGGAACAAAGGCTACCAAATTAAATCACAGCGCCAGACCATAAAATATTAAGAGCATACTTTCAATGGAAGGGGATTGAAAGGTAGAAAGGGCCGAATGAGAGAAATTTTCAAGTGACAATTTAAATAGGGTAGTTAGTCCACTGATTTTTGAATATCGTAGAAAAATAATTATATTTAAAAAATAGTATCTTAAGAATATTAAGAGATAAATATGTCTAACAGAAGAAATTGTATGTCTTTAACATACTTTAAAGTATTTCCAAATGGCATGTCAAGTAGACAATATAAAAACCAGCTTATACTCTGAATTCTTAAGTGTAACCTACCATCCCTACATATTTCACTCACCATTTTGCGCCCCAGATCATCGCCTTCGGTGCTCGAGAACCCCCGACCCGTCCTAACCCAACTGATAACTTCTGAACTCCTCGACAGGTCGTGGCTGCGAGCTCATTGAAAAGCAGGCCTGCGGTATCGCGTTGGCCATTTAACGGGATTTTAGCAATTTAAATATGATTTTTTCCCATCCCAATCCCCCATATGCATTCCAAGCAGCTGGAGCTGCTGGCGCACAAAGGAAAAACTTCACAGTTTTTGTTTTTATTCGCCCGAAAATGTTGTCGGTTGTTTGTTCTTCGAGGCGGTGGTCCCTGCCTCAACAAGTTGCTTTATGGCATATGCATGGTAATGATGAGGAGTCGGAACTCTGGGATAAAGCCAGGAAGGACCCTCCACGAGCGCCATTTTTTGCGGCCTCGTTTCATATGATGGCTGCTCCCGGGTGTTTATGTGATATTTACATAATAAAAAGCGAGAGTTTCGCCGTTCAAAGGATGGAAGTTATATCCTTCTCCCCCGATCTCCTCCCCGCTGAAGTTCTGACCCACATCTATGATTATTTTCATAGCGCCTTGGGGATGGAGGCCACGCCCACTCTGCGTAAAGTTGAAAAATATGAAAAAGGGGACGATACATCCTTTGTCTTTTACACCCCTTCCCATCCGCTTGAAAAAAACAACAAAGGAAAAAAGAATTTCGCTTTTGTTTTATTTATTTTATGGCCCGTTTGGGGAGCCCAGTGCCGATATCCTTTTTCTGGGCCCCATCCTTGAACTTCTCGCAGTTGCCGCGCTAAATTAAGTTTTGTTTTGCCAGTTGTCCCCAGATCCCAGCCCCCCCCCCACCCCCTCCTCCTCTTTTGCCCATCAGCCCCGAAGCTGATAAATGTCCCCAAAGCAAACAAAGTGCAAGTTGTTTTTTAAGTTTGGCCCCAACTATGCGGCATATCTTTGGCCTGTCCGGAGATCCATTGGGGAGTGGTATCTATAAGGGTTGGGTTTCGGGGCCGGGGGTTCTGACTTTGGGGACCTGCCAGTTGACACAAAGGGTTGCTGGGGTTGGCCCATTGTCTGACATGTGGGGTGAAGAACTGACTTTGACGACGTTTCAGGGGTTGGGTCTTCAAAGGAAGCTGCTGCCGACGAAGGACTAAATTCTGCAGCAAAATATCTAATTAAAGCGATTCAAAAGAAAATTAAAGTATGAGTTCTAGTTCCTACAATTTCTATATGAATTAGCAGCACTTAATATAAAGTTTTTGGAAATAGGAATCTTAGAAAATTAGAAATGTAAAAAGTATCTATCTAGAAAGTAAATCCAAAAGTACCACAAACAGATTTAATAAAGAACTTCCTAATACAAAACCTGTATATAAAACAACAAAATTTCGTATTATATATTTGACCTAAAAATAAAAGCCATAAATAGCATGATTTAATTTAAAAATACTTAAATTAAGATGAAATATATTAGATTAGGTGTTAGCAAGATTAACTTTAAATTTTTTGAATTTAATGAAACAGAATAAGATATAAAAAACATTAAAAATATTAAAGTTTAAAATCCTTAAAATAACTTGACTATTTCATTTTTATAAAGCGCTAAAATCAAAGCGTAAAATTGTAAAACTGAATATGAAATCTATGGACTTACTACATATTTCCTATAAGGTCAGTAACTCCTGGGCAATCTGCTTCCATCCAATCGATAGCCCAACCCCAGACTTCCGAACCGATTCGAGCCAACTGGCTGACGACCATTAGGTCTGCAGCAGACTGGCGGGCAACTGTTAAAGTGAAACTTGCAACAACTTCCATTTGCTTTTAGCCAGTCGCTAATTCCGCTCCTAATGTCCAGGCCGTGGCCATTTAAATTGTCTTCATTTGTTTACTGCCCGCCAGTCGGATGGCAGACAAACTTGGGGGGAGTACAGAGTGCAGGGCACAGATAGCTAGAAGTAATCCACAAAACTACCGATTAACTCCCGACGGGGGCAATGCGATTGCTCGGCAGCTGCCAAATCCAATGGAAATCGAAAAGCCAAGCAATTTTGAACTCTAATGGAAAATCAATTTGAAGCGATGCTAACCACGTTTTCCTCCTCTGTTTTTCTCTTTTTGCAGGCGAATGCCGGAATTTAAACTCCAGAGCCATTGGCGAACTTGGCCAGAACGCAGTTAACGTGGAGAAAAGGAGAGCAGCAAACGAAGAGACGAGCGGCGAAAAGCCAGAAGACAGCGAGCGTGTAATGAGCAGACGACGGGCAATTACCATGTCCCATCTCGGCCAGGCTTTTGGCCTCGGTCTGGGCCTCTTTCTCGTCTTGGCCACATTGCAGGGGGCCCGGGGGTTGGCCAACTGCCCGAATGGCTGCGAGTGCGACGACGACACTTTGATGGTCAACTGCGGCGAGGGCACCTTGGACGTCCTGCCCATCGCCCTCAATCCCGCCATCCAGCGGCTGGTGATCAAGAACAACAAGCTGAAGACCATCGACTCCTCCATGCAGTTCTATGCGCAGCTAACCTTTTTGGATCTGTCTTTTAACGACATGCTGACCATCCCGGAGCGATCGTTTTCGTATCACGCCAAATTGCAGGAGCTGCACCTGGACCACAACAAGATTGGCCAGGTGTCGAACAGGACTTTCCAGGGTCTATCTACTATAAGCGTCCTGAATCTGAGGGGCAACCTGATTGCCGAACTGGAGTACCGCACCTTCTCTCCTATGACCAAGCTGGCGGAGCTGAATCTCGGCCAGAATCGCATCAGTCACATCGATCCGCATGCTTTGGATGGGCTGGACAACCTGAGGGTCTTGTATCTAGATGATAATACCTTGACTACAGTTCCCGGCGAGCTGACCTTCCAGGCTTTGCACTCGCTGGCGGAACTCTACCTGGGCACCAACTCCTTCATGACGATTCCCGGCGGCGCCTTCGAGGATCTCAAGGGACTGACCCGCCTAGATCTCCATGGAGCTGGCCTGCACAACATCTCGGCGGAGGCTCTGCGGGGTCTGGAGACCCTGCGCTATTTAGATCTCTCCGATAATCACCTGCCTGCGATTCCCACGGCAGCGTTACAAAGATTAGGTCGCCTGGAGCAGCTGAATATTGGCCAGAATGACTTTGAGGTGGTGGCATCGGGGGCCTTTGCTGGTCTCCGGGAGCTGCGGCATTTGGAACTCACGGGAGCTCCGCGACTGAGGCGCGTGGAGAGCGGTGCCTTTGGCGGAAATACCAATCTGGAGCACCTCAACCTCTCGAGTAACAAGGAGCTGAGTGAGCTGCCCGCCATCGCGTTGGGTGGCCTGCCCCATCTCAGCACCGTGGTGCTGAAGGCCAATCAGCTGAGCAGCCTGGACGAGGGTCTGGTGCCCTGGGCCGATCTGCAGACCCTCGATCTCTCGGAGAATCCCTTCGAATGCGACTGCCGGCTGCTGTGGCTGCGTCATCTGCTGGTCAGCCGCAATGCCACGGGTCAGTTTGCCCAGGTTGTGTGCGCCTATCCGACGGCTCTGAGGGATTTGCCCCTGGCCCAGCTGGCTGAACCCCTGCTGGGCTGCGCCCATGGAGCGGCGAGCAAGCAGGCGATCATCGGCATTCTGGTGGTGGCCTGTGCCGCCCTCATCACCACCTTGGCCCTGGTGCTCTACACCTGCCGAAGGAGAATTCGAGAGCTCTTGAAAGGGCACTCTGCGCTGGGCAGGAAGGAGCGCGAGTACCAGAAGACATTCTCCGACGAGGAGTACATGTCCAGGCCGGCACCTGGTAGCGGTGGAGTTCACCCTGCCGCCGGTGGATATCCCTACTTCGCGGGCAGCACGCGGCCAATACCCGTGACCGAGCTATAGCTGGAGGCACCACCCCCGCCTCAGGTGCGGGGTAGGGGTGGTAATGGTGGCACCGTTCCCAGTGCCGTGGACCAGGCCTCCAACTCCCTCGCCCAGCTCAGCCACATCCACTACATGACCAACAACGGCCAGTCGTCTGCCTCCTCGAAGATGCACCACTCGCAGCAGGACATGCGTTTGCTCACCTGCAACGGGGGCAAGCCGATGAATGCCACCTCGCTGCCACGCCACCGACCGCCGGTGGTGCAGCTGCAGGTGCAGGAGAGCACCTTGTCGCACTACAGCCAGCCACTTGCCAACGGGATTCGACTCACCCAGGACCACTTCAATCACAATCAGCCAGGACAGCAGGGACAGCAGGGTTACCAGAACCACAATCACCACTATGGAGGCGTCTATGCCAAACCCTGCGATGCGATGTCCGAGCCGGGATATATCCACAACAACTCGCACTACTCGCTGCCCCTGGATCACGATCTGCCACCCAGTCCCACGCCCACTCCACCGCCCCCCGCCTTGCCGCTGCGAAACGGGGTGGGCATGGCCCTGATCCACGGCAACACCACTGGGCGCAGATCGTTCAACAACAACAATAATAATCTGTCCACCCTGACCAACAACAATCATCACGGGGGCGGAGTGGGTGTGGCAGTGGGCGGCGGCAACAACAATGGAAGTCTGAGGCGGTACCACTGATATTCGGCCAAGACGTGCGGCACTTTGGGGCGCAACTTCATCAAAAGCAGGCCGGAACCGGAAATCGAGCTGCATTACTTCTACAAGGGTTGAAAGACGGAAAGGGGATTGATTGATCTAATTTAATCGGGTTCCATTTGATTATCGCGATAATCAAAAGCGGCCCGAATATTCATACTCTAGTTGTATATTCCTACGTTACGTGTATTCAAGCGAAAGCATTTTGTATAAATTAGAATTTAGTTCGAGAGGTTGTCGTCCGACCAGGAAAAGCGCAGGAAAAACGCAGGTGTATATAAGGAAATCTTGCGCACAATTTGGCAGGCAGTTGGTAGGTTGGCTAAAAAATAAAAAATAAAATAAAAATATTAAATAACCAACCCGCCGTGCGGCCATTTCATTTGCATACAGTGATCTTAATATTTAAGTTGTGCTTTAAAGCATTTCAATTAATGTAAATAATTAGAAGCTTCTCTAAAAATCAATAAAACGTCAAAACAATATAAAAAAAAATAATAACAAATAATTTTACCTTATAAAATAACAAATAAGCTACGCGCTTAAGCACCAGTCATTAAAACTATGTATGTATTTAGCCTAAAGCTATCACAAAAAATATTCCAAAAACAATGAGAAAAGTCGAAAATAAAAGGGAAATAAATATGCAAAAACTAAAATAGAACACAGCAGATTTTTATAGTTAATAGACTCAGTAAAAAATAAACTACTCATCGGAATAATAAACAGAGAAGATGTTTACGCAGTGTAAAATGGAAATAGCTGAACTATTGAAAACTCCGAAATATTCATGTAGAATCTACGCCGCATTCACAAATATGAATAAGCAATTTATGCAACATAAACGAACACAAAGTAAATCTATATATATACGAATTATGCGTGTAAATAAAAAAAAGTGACTATGCTCGAAAAAACATACATTTTGCGTTGTTTTCATTTCGCATTTATCATTTTCCCAGCCTCGGCTGAAGACTTGTATTTTTTTATTTCAGAATTTGATTTGATTTTCACTGCATCGAGTCGGCCTCACTTTTGATCGATTGTACATATTTAACAACTTAATGGAACAAATTGCAAAACCAATACAAGGGAGTTAAAAGTAACCTACAAATAAACGAAAAACAAAGATTACCATATGTAATTGAAAACTTATTCAAACGCAAATTTCATATTCATATTTCATAACGAAGCAGATCTTTCATCTAGTTATACGACAACAACAAAGCAACTATGATTAAATTAAATCAATTTGAACTACAATTTAAGCAAATTACAAGGGACAAGCATAGTTAAACAAGCTAAGAATATAAACGAGGCATCATAGATTGAGCCGAAAACCAACTACATTTGTGGATCAGCGTCTAATCGTATCATTAAAACCAGAAGTAAATCAACAAGTCATGCAAGGAATTCTCTCAATGTAATGGAAAAATACAAATGCGAAGAAATGGTAAATTCAACAGTGTTCAAGAACTAGAAGATAAAATCAAATAAAGAACAAACTTAACAATAAAATTGTTGTATTTAATTTTTGGGGGCTGATTCAGATACATTTATGTAATTCTTTTCTGCCCAATTTATTATATAGGTTCGCTGTGGATTTCTCGCTTGCTGTTTGCGTTTGTACGTCAATTTTCCCGTTCTAAATTAAGGGGTAGCGTGGCCGAGCGGTCTAAGGCGCTGGTTTAAGGCACCAGTCTCCTCGGAGGCGTGGGTTCGAATCCCACCGCTGCCAGCTGGTATTATTTTTATTTTTTCTTTTTTGTTTCCTACAATTTGCAGCTTGTTCAGCAGTCTGCCAACGATTCCGGTCGCCGGCACTTGGGGAAACTAGTGTGTTTGTCGGTGTCAAATGCAAATACCTAAAAACACTTTTCCATGGCAGTTTAGTTAATGCCGCAGCGACAGAGTTGAAGCTGCAGGGGGAGCGCCTGGCACTCATCTGCATAATTTAATTACATTTAACAATAACAAAAACACGGGCTCACGCACACATGCCCCAACACACGCTCCCAACGTGCAGCGTTTTGCGCTAATAAGCGACAGGGTCACCCTCGCCCCACAGCCCCCCTTTCGACGCCCTGTGCCACCCCAACCCCTTCTGCTGCTGCCATGCAAGTTGTCAAGCGATGCGACACTCGGCAAAAATCTAAAGCGAACTAGTGGAGCTGAAGTGGTGACACGAACTGTGATAATAAAAGATATCATTTACTTTTTTATTGCAGGGATTTTAAAATATTGACAAATGAGTCATCTTTTTACAATTTTTTCTAAATCAATATTTGATGGTAACTAAAATTGTTTTTTTTTAAGATTTATTCATTTATTTTTGACAGAAAATTATTAAAAGATTTTCTAAAACTAATTTCCGATTTTTTTGGTATTGAACTGAAACCTTTTGTTGTTTAATTTATGCAAGCTGAATCCCATTTACTTTTTATTATAGGGTTTTGATAGGGTTTCCCTCACGCTGCCATCGCCAGAGGTTCCAGCGGGAGAAGCATATATAGTTCGCTCTGGCATAAACAGTTGCACATTTGCCTGCCCCTCCTGCCGCAGTGTGCCTTCAACTGATGTTGCTGATGTTGTGCTGCTTGTGCATATGCGACATTAGCGCACGCAAACAACGTACACACAATTAGAAGAATTAACAGTAGTTAAGGCAACAACAACACGCTCAACTTGCTGGCAAGATGTGCATCGGTGTGCAAGGACGAGCGGGCGGTGTAAGTGGGCGGAAAGTGGGTGGCATCTATCCCGCTGCCGGCGGCTGTTGTTGCTGCTGTGCTTGTAATTTAGTTTCGAAACGAGTTCCGCTGCATGTCCGCTGCTGTTGCCGCAACTTATTGGCCACAACATGCCAACTTATTAGGCAAAAGCGCAAAAGTTATAAATTGTTTCACAAGGCGCACATTGTTGCGGCCGTAAATATGTGGATACCGAGTTAAGGACAACGGGAAGCCAGAAAGTTGCCAAGGATGTGCGGTTATCGCTTTAAAATTAAGGTGCAAAAGGATCAGGGTTAAATGGTTTTGAATAAAGCCAAAATTTGCGAAATTTCGTGGAATGTACTCAATAAAATATTCGAATAAATGTATTTTCCTGGAAAAACTAACCTTAACTTTTGAAAACATTTTAGATAATATGTAACTAAATAATGGAACTTTTTTATTAAATATAAGTTAAATATAGGTACTTATTAGATAAAACAAAAGTGCATTCAACTCCTTTGTTTTAAACATTGTATCCCATTTAATTAAAGTTGTTCCCCCTATTTTTATTCAGCCGAGCATTCAGCTAAGAAGAATTACAAAATATTTTTAATTGCCGTCCGTAAATTTATGCCACGAAAATTGTTTTCAAAACAAAAGGAGTCTTTCCCTCAAAAAACCTTCACCCCAAACATTTTGTCTGCTTTGCTAATTTATATGTTAATTTTTTTATTTCATATTTCCACACACAGACCGAATATTATTTTTGTGCTATTTCATATTTCGTTGATGTGGTCGCTTTATTTTGAATACAAAAACGGGAAAGGATGGCTCCCGACCAAAGGCCCCGCACCGAAAAACAACATAATGCCATCGTCTATTCAAAAAGGCGTTTTCGGTTTGGCTCTTCCTTTTTTTGGGTTTTATTTTGCATGAAATTTTCGCTGAACCGGCACAAAAACACGTCGGCAAGGGGATTTGGGATTGGGGTTGGGGTTGGTCAGAGGCTCATAGGCAGCTTTTTAATTTTCAGCATGAATTAGAATAATAGTCAACGGATATTACACAATGGCAGCCTAGGGGCGTGGTTGGGGGGCGGCTCGTGCTGTTGGGGATTTCCGGTCAGCTCGGTTCGCTTGGGTTTGGTTTTGGCCTTGGGGCTTAGGGCTGCTGGCCATTAAGGGAATTGCCGATGGAGGAATCTTTAATGAGAAACTAACGGCTAGCAATATTCCCTTTTTGCTGGGGATTAACGAAAGAGTTGCCAAAAATAATTTATAGCACATTCAAAGCTGGAAATTAGAAACTGGAGTTTTTAATGAAAAGCTGGCTACCCAAAATTCTTCTTTGAGGCACTTAACATCTCATTTGTGCTGTGACAAATATGTATTTCGCAAGGTATTAAAAATAAAGTCAACCACTTCTGGGAAATGCTTAAAACAAGCAAAAAAATTAAAACAAGAAAAACAAGAACGTAAAAAGTGCTGACACAAAACACAAAACATGCCAGAGCAATGTGAAAAGCGTGAAAAGCGCGGAGGGGTCCGCAGTTCGCCGGCAAGGAGACCGCCGAGATGGATGGCGATAAAGTCATGGAGGGTCCAGGACATTCCGGCCAAGGAGGGAGTTGGGCCGGAAAACCCAACAAAAGGAGCAGCCGCAAGCAACCGCATGGGGGGAAAACTGGAAAACCCAGGACTTGTTTTGTATTTGTCCCGAAAAAAAGGCGGGCAAAAATTTGTTTTAATGCCACGCTCTTTTTATGCTTTTCTTTATAACTTCTTTTCAGCTTTTTTGTCATGTTACAATTCTGCAGCGACAGCAGTAAAAAATAATACCCCCGCCCCCCGGGGCAACCACAACTTGTGCAACATCATAAACCCATTTGCGTTTTTAATTAGTAACATCGCAACTTGGCGGAGTGGAGCGGCCGAGGGCGAAAAGTAAATGACCATGCACAAAATGTTGCACTGAGGCAGCTGAAACAGATAGCAGATAGCGAGTCCTGGCCCCGTAAAAACAGAGCTGAAAAACTGGAGCAAATAAGGTAAAAATTTTTAATTGCCGCAGAAGCGAAAATTATTAAGTTGCGGTTTCATTTCAAGTAGTGCGAACCCAACTAGCCGGGGAACAGTCGGTGGTCAGTTCATCCTCATCGCCGTCATAAAAGAGTCCGCGAACAAAGTTGAAAAAGCGCAGCTCAAGTGGAGCCGCCTCCCAGTAAGAACGGGAATGGTTTCGGTTTTCGGACCCGCTGATGGTCTCCTGTTTTCCGTTGCTCACTTTTTATTTTTTATTTTTTAGCCCGTATATGGGGCAACGACCGAGGTTCACTGCGACTGGTTACTAAAGGGGATTCCATCGGGGAGGTGCTGACAAGTGTCCTTCAAGTGGGAGGGATAACCCGCAGGAACAGCCTCGCTAATTAAAGACGAATTCAGAAAAAAAGTGTTTAAAATCGGTAACAACTGAAAAAGTAAAATCAGGACTTTTCCAAATATATTCTATATTTTTAGTCAAAAGGATATTCCAATAACTTTTGTTATTCCATTTATTGGAGTTTTTTTTTTTTTCCAAATGTATATTTACAATTTTTGTCCATTCCGTAAAATAAAAAAAATTTGCTTGTTTCAAATTTAAACAATTCTATGTGAAATATTTTATTTTCGTTACTTTTTAAGATGTTTTAAAACCGGATTTAAAAAGGTTCCAATCTAAAGGCGAAGAAAAGCATCTGTGCCAGGTCCTTTTGCACTGTTTCCTCTCTGGCCAGCCAGTTAAATCCACATGTTTATGGCGCATCGAGCACTAAACGCTTTCCCGAAAATGCTTAACCCCCAGCTACCCGAAGTTTATGTGTGCGCTGTCCCATGTGCTCGGGTCAGTCATATTTTATTTCCGAGTTTTCTTTGCAGTTTTTTCGCTCGCCCCACGTACAAGTGGCCAAGTTGAATGGACAGAAGTCACAGCAGAGCAGTTGCCACAATTAACACGTAGGGTGGGCAGCGGGAAAAGTCCTGAAGTGGGTTAGTCGAAGGACGTGAGTGCGGAATGAAATCCGTGAAGTGCTGCACGTGTCATGCGTCACATCAGAGATACTTCACTACCATCCCCATTATTTTCTGGACTTTTCAAAACCGATATCTTATATAAGCTGAATCTAAAATGAGATTCGAAGCAGTTTAGATTTTTTTGCAATTATTTCTA